TTCTATCCCACAAAATCCAATATGGAGTTAACGCATTCTTTCCTGTACATTATATCAGATGACCCCTATTCAGGAAAACTAGTTAGTTCTTCAAGAAAAATCTGTACAATCGATCCCGTTATTTTGCTTTTGAATTAATTATGTGAATCTCATAAATTGTATTGTTATGGGGATTAAATTTTATTAGCTCCACTGTCAACATAACAGAACTTTTTTCTTAGTACTTATTGTCTGTCGTCTGTCGGTGTTAACTTTAGAACTTTATCTTTGACTTCTTGGAAACACCCAGTCTGTTAGTTTTCATACTTGGTATATATGTACCAAAAAAGAAAATTCACTTCCAAGTGCCCACGAACCTGCATCTATATCTTAAATGCTGCAGGCATTCACTTATATGGGGAATTGTCAACGATTTGATTAAAATACGCCAATATAAGGGCCGGAATGGTAAATTTAGTACTTTTTATCATTATAGAGGAAGTGAACTTTAAATAATTTGCTCTACTATTATATTTATCATAGCAGTATTTCCCTTAACTTCCAAACTTAACATGATTGTAATGATTTGAGGCTATGACGTTTAGTTTAGTTATTTGCATAATGATATTGATACATTGTCGTGGAACATCTCGTGAGTATTTAGACTCAGTTTCAGGCCTAGCAGTTGAGCAATAAACACCTACAAGTGCTCCTCTCCAGTGCGCTATTATTCCCCTCCGGATTTGGTGACCAATACTCACTTGGTTTACTCTACCTTGAGAAGTCTGTTCTCAGTTTACATATGGTGGCAGCGGTGGGATGTTAAGTCAAAATAATGACAAAGGAGAAGAACATCCCATAGTATACATCAGTAGGAAGTTGTTGCCTCGTGAAATGAATTATGCAACTATCAAGAAGGAATGTTTGGCCATTGTTTGGGCAGTGGAAGCATTATACCCATATTTGTATGGTAGAGCATTTACTGTTCAGAGTGACCATCATCCTTTAAAATGGCTGAATCAATTGCGCGAACAAAATCGTAGACTGATGCGTTGGAGTCTGACCCTGCAAGGGTACCAGATAAATTTTCAACATAAAAAAGGGGTCGAAAATGGCAATGCTGATGGCTTGTCAAGAGCATGGCAGTCAGATGTGGATTGACTTCCCAAATTAGTTGTCAGCAAATGATGAGTGTTGTGTGCGGCTTGGTGCTTTTCTATCACCTAAATATCATGTGCTAGATATTAAGTTTATCCAGGTACTGCAGCACAGCCATATTTTGGAATTGTTTGTTGGTTTTTATGGTTATATATTTAACTTGTTATTATTGAGTTCAAAGTATTTTCAAGTGTATCTCAAAGTTTTTAAAAATAGAGTTTTCATCCTCTATAAGGGGAAAGGAATGTAATGATTTGAGGCTATGACGTTTAGTTTAGTTATTTGCATAATGATATTGATACATTGTATGGAACATCTAGACTCAGTTCCAGGCCTAGCAGTTGAGCAATAAACACCTTGGCTACAAGTGCTCCTCTCCAGTGTGTTATTCTCCTCCCGGATATGGTGATCAATACTCACTTGGTTCACTCTACCTTGAGAAGTCTGTTCTCAGTTTACATGATATTCCTTCCTAATAATGATTTTTTAAGTTGGGGTTCGGCTCGCGTTTAGCTAATTATTTGGATTGAATCTAACTTGGTACACATTGTCACAGACCAGTTGTTGAGAAATAACAGTACAGGTATGATGTATTCAATGGTATTACATTTACGTGTAATACTCACTCCAGTGGTGTTAGATTTGTAATAATATTTATTATAGACATCCAAGAAACATAGGTTATAAATCACTCTAGTGATAATAAAACTGAAATGGACAAAAAAGTGAGAAACATATTTTATATATATATATATATATATACTGTAAAATGACTAATTTTCACTGGGTTTAAATTTCACTGATTTACCATTACAGGCATATTCAGTGGGTTTTAAATTCACTGTTTTATCATTTAGATAATGTGTTCTATGCTAAATTTTACATATTCACTGTGTTTTAATTTAGCGCATTTTTCCAGTCAGCGAAATAAGCTAAATTAAAACCCAGTGAATAATTACCCCCTTTACAGTATACGGTATATAATAATCAAGTTCCTTCCGAATGTTCAGGTGTCATATTTTTCTTACCACGAAACTACAATCAAACAGTCACTCAAATTTTTCAGTGTGTTTATTAAATCTTTCCCAACATCACATTAATGCTATCTTTATTTTGTATCTATGGTAACATCTTCTTCCTCATCACTCGAAGCATACATCACTAATGGTTTTAACAGACTGTCATCTACAATTTTACTCTTCGTGACATTAGCTCCATCGTTTGTGGTTTCAACTTTCATCTTGGTTTTCCTTAGAATTTGTTTTGGTTTTACAAAACAAATGTTTTTCTTTTTTTCTGCAACAGGTTCTTTTACATACTTGTTCCGTGATTGTGTTTCATGTTCCAATCTATGTCCATGTTGTACTCGATCCTGAAAGAATGAAAAAATTTTGTAAATTCAAATACATCACCACTATTAGAAATACCGGTAGTGTTGTGGAAATCAATGACGATGCAATTAATTTGTCAATTTAATTTTCATCTAAGTGGCGTAATATTTCCCCTAAGCTGGCACACTTTGAAGTAAAATTATCTTTTGCATAATTATTCAAGCAGGGTACTGGTCTAAGCACCGTCCACCCTAAAAATATGATTTCTGGAGTATCTAAGTCAAACAAGTATGATAAGTAGACATACACCCACCACTATCCAGACACACACACACCAGTATGACATTAACTTGCCATTGTAGTACTGCTACACACAGGGGGCCAAAATAGTGTTAAGATATGTTACCTGAATTTCAGATTCTGTGCTTTGAGCTATTAACTTTTCAATTCTCTGCCTAGCATCATTTATTTGTTCTTCTGTACCATTTATCCAGAGACATCGTGTTTGATTCTTAGAAGTCACTGATAAATAAAATAAACACTTGATAATTTTGCTCAGATTGTGGCTGTGAATAATCTCATTGCAGTGAAATACATTATACTTGTTAAAATGCTATTAAGGTAGAGATGCAGGTTCGTGGGCACGTTGGGAGTGAAATTTTTTTTTTTGCTTTTTATTATCCAAACAGTCTTGGCTATAGACTGTGAAAATTTTGGAGAATTGTGAATAGTGGAACATACTCAAAAAACGATTTTAAAATATTGATAACCGGTGCAAACATTCTCTCTTTTGAATGCTTAGCAAGATTTAGCAAGGCTGTAAATAAATAATAAAAAAGAAACATGGTGAAAAAAAAGAAATGGCGGGATGTCCATATTATGAACTATATTTAACTTTTTACAAAACGAAAATACATTTAAATTTGGAACTGTTACAGCCATTTTAATTATGAGCATTAGCAAACTTCTTACTGAGTGAAATTGTTATGCAAATTAGCAATTATCTCAGCTTCTTTTTAGTGCACATCCCAGAACTTTAAAAAAAAATAGCTCCTAGACGCTTTGACCTTTTGTTTTGAAATTTTCACAAATGATTGACAATGTGTTTATCTTCAAAACGCCGTCGGGGCATTGTTTTTGGTTGAACAGTGTTACAACAATCGAACAGACAACTGGCCTGGGTGTTAATTTATGCATAAACTTGAAGTAGTGAAATTTTAGCTGCTGCCCTGCAAAATTGACAACTGGTAGACAGTTTTCAAGACGGCACTTTCTTCATAGTATACAGATGTACCCATAAACCAATTTTGACAGGAAACAGAAGCATGGTTTAGAAGCAAATTTTTTTTAAATCACTTTTGACCAAAAAAGCACATTTTTGTGCATATTTCAAACTACAGTGTCCATAAAAAAAATACTAAACAATTTTTAAAATTCATACAATGAGATTTCCGAAAATATATAGTTTCCGAATTAACTAATTAAAATACCTGTCAGGTAAACTGCATCTCTACCTTAAGGCAATCTCAA